AAACCAGTCTCCAGATGCTGGCAGAGCAGTCAGTGCTCCAAATGTCAGAACCTTCCAATGCTGCTCTCCCTGGGGCCACACTTTGCAGGTTAAGGATTCGCATATTTCCCATGGGAAAACCAAGCTAAGCTCCAGTGTCTGGTTAATAAAATGATTGCTTCAGAATCCTCTCCATTAAGGTTATTATTAGCATGTCACAGAAGGTGGGGAGGAGTAGCTCACTGGTATGAGGGCTAGATGTCTTCTCTGTGCTCAAGGGAATGGTCCTACTGTGGGGCCCTGAGCCTGGTGCCCACCTACCTCCTCTCTGCAGCCCCTGTTACAGCCCAGGGTTGGGTGTTGTGCTGTTTTTGTTCATGGAATTGTGGGAACACTGGGCCGCACTCACTAAAGGGCTCTCACTTGACAGACGTGCCATCAGGGAGACATGAAAATAGGCCAGCTGGGATGAAAGTCCAGTCAGACTGGGTGTCTCGGCGTTTGAGGCTTTTCTTGCCATGAAGGTGCAAGGCGACCAGGCACAGCAGTGGTATGCGTGGTGGCCCCACAGGGGCTCACATGAGCCCCTCACCCAGCTCCTCCTCACCTCCATGCATCACTAGGCTGTAAGTGGTCCTGACCTGGGTCAGGAATGGAATGGAACAAGCCCCACACCTTTCTTTTATATCTGGCACCATGTTCAAAGTTGCCGTACCACGGTCACTTTGGTTGCTGTGACACTGATGTGTCAAATGCATTAATGGTTGTCTACCCAATGCGGACAGAGAGTGGGGTGGAGCTCCCCGATTAAAACAAGCTTGGAAGAAGGAGTGGCATCCACTTCCATAACAGCTTGCCTCTGGAAACCCTATGAACCTGGAGAGAGGACTCTCCTTCATAGGGTCACTATGAGTCGCCTGCAACTCGACGGCACTTAACAACAACAACAACAACTATGTTCAATGTTTCTCAGCCCCTCTCTCATATCAGCCAGACTCCATGCTGGCCCAGGACAGACAACTGCACATGTGACAGGCAGAACTGAGCCTCCCACAGCTTCCAGCCCTAGTGTGAGGAGGCATCGGCACACAAGTCAGGACAAAAATGCACTTGGAGCCAGCCCTGCAAAGTAGGGTCTACTGCTCCGGTGTCTCTTCTAGTTGTGTTCTTACTTGTACCTTCTTCTCAGATCTTACAGGTCTAGCCAGTGATACACTGCACATCTTTTGCCTTCTTCTTTTTTACCTTATTTAGAGGACATCATGCTTGGAAAAGTGGAGGGCCAGCGAAGGAGGGGAAGATCTTCAACAACATGAATTGACACAGTGACTTGTAACAATAGGCTCAAGTACAGCAGGACTGATGAGAACGGCACAGGATAGGGCAGTTCATAGGGTGACTATGTGCTGTAGTCGAGTTGATGGCACCTAACAACAACTGGTGGAATCTTTCATAGACAGTTGCATCATATACGGAAAGGCTGCATGTCATTGGAAATTCATGTCCACCAGCTCCTGGAAGAAAGATAGGCAGTCATTCTCCTCTTATTACCACTTACACCCTCAGGAATCTGCTCGAGGGTCAGAAGGTATCTACGGCCATGGGGGCTTTTTGAAGTGTTGAATTTTCATGGGTGGAAGTTCAACCTACTCATCTCCACCACCAAAGGGAAAGGTGAAGAGTATGCACTGAATTTCAGAGGGACTTACTTACAACACAGATATATATAGATATATATATATATTTGAGAGAGAGAGAATTGCATCCATTTTCTAAACCACATGCCTCTGAAGGAAACTCTATGAACACAGAGAAATTACAATAGTTATAAAACAGGGTTCAGGCCTTTTGTTCATAGGGTTGCTATGAGTTGTGCTCAACTCAGTGGCAATCAACAACTATATATATACAGAATATATGTTCTATCCATTTATTTTAATCTTTTTTATATAAAATTTTTCTTTTGCACTGGTTTTTAGAAGCAGGAGTGGCCTCTACTTCCTAAACAACATGCATCTGGAAACTCTATGAACTTTGATAACTGTAGATAGTTGTAGAGGAGCTTCAGGCCTTTTGTTCACAAGGTCGCTATGAGTCATGTTCGACTTCAAGGCAATCAGCAACAACAACAACAATACTGGTTTACTAACAAAGTTCATATAAAGGAAAGGGGAAAGAACAGGTGTGAAAAACAATATAAACAGTCCTCCCTTTTATGAGCAACAACATGACTCTGAAACTTTTCTTTCCACCTGTAGAATGAGTACTTTATCAGTGCTTGACTGATAACCAGGCTATTTATGACGAGGCTGTCATAGAGTTCAATGAGACACTGTTTATAACATGCTCAGCACCATTCTAGGTTCATGTTTTCCAGAAGCACATGCCTTTAATTTGGACTTGGTACAGCTAACACAAATAAAGAACCCCAAACATAAACTAATAGTCCCAAATACACACAAGTGCATGCACTCATTAAAGCCAAAGACAACACAAACAACAGAAAGAAATAGTCCAATAACTTCAGATTATGGAATTTATGACTATAGACATTTAATTTAAAATGTTTAAAACACCTCTCCAATGGCCTAGTGGCAAGAAGCTGCACTGCAATCTGGAAGCCATGTGGTTCAAGGCCACCAGCTGCACCGTGAGAGAAGGATGGGCAGTCTCCTCCTGTGCGACTAACTGCCTCTGAAAACCTGCCAGAGGGTCAGCTATGGATCAGTTCAACTCAACAGTACACAACAACAACAACAACAATATATAGCTAACAGATGTGATGAGAGACATGGTCAAGAAACAAGATACTATTTTAAAGAAAAAGATAAACCAACTAAAATTTCTAAAATGCAACATGAAAATATTTGATGTGAAAGCCCAGCAGATGAGTGAGATGGCAGATTACGTGAGCTATGTCGAGTTTATTTGCACTAGAACACTGGACTGAATAAGTTATACAGCAAGGGATTTTTTGTTGAAGAAGTCTCTGAGAGACTTGGAAGATAGAATGAAATGGTTCAATATATAATTAGTTGACATTCCAGAGGAAGAAGAAATCAGTGATCATTTTGGAAAGACAATTAGCAAATAGATACATTGATTGTTTTCCAGAAATGATGAGAAGTGTATCTAGAGAGTCACATAGCACAGGAAACATGGTAAGTAAAAAGCAGGCTACGTTAATTACACAGAGAATGGTAACCGAGAACAAACAGAGGAGAGGAAAATGGTAAAGTCGCCATAGAAAAGAGCTGCTTGTCGGCAAACTCCTCAGATGGATTTCTCAACAGCAACCCAAGAAGCAGAAGATAGAATGGCCTAAGCACTGAAATGGAGACACACTCAGCCTAAAACTTTACTTCCCAATAAATACTACAAAGCACAAGGATAACCTCAGAGTGGTGAATATTGAATGCAGTAGATTCCACAGAGGACAGACAAGCCCTGAGTCACAGGGGAAGGCTCAGAACGTGATCGGTCAAGCAGACAAAACAAGTAAAGATTAAATTATTCAAAATCTGAAAAAAGCTAACTCTTATCTTGGGCTTTAAATGAGTTGTGCTGATATGAGACATTGAGCTTAACATTTTAATATATTTTATCCCAATGAGTTTACAGGTTTGTGAAGAAATGTTGTCAATTTATTATCTGAAATGGATTTTTTTCATATATTTTTAATTATTTAAATCTGCCAAATAAGAATTTCTGCTGTATATTTTAAAAATTAGATTCTATCGCAATGAATGATACTCAGCTTTGTTAGGCCAAAGCTCTAAATTTACTGTAAATTTTTAACCAGAAACTGTTATTTTGAGTATTTTTCTGTATATGCTTTATCCTTGTTGTTTAAAAAATAAAATATTCTCAAGGCATATTTTGGAACCATTCAATGGCCTAAATTTTAAACACTCAACACTACCAGGTGTTGATTTGTTGGGAACAACCTCATCTTATACATGTTGTTGATGTCATTTCAATGACGTGCACCATCTTGCAGCGGTGAGCTCTGCTGATGTAGTGTGTTCTGCTATTCACCAAAAGGTTGTGTGTCTCCAGCAATTCAACTCCACCAGAGTCTCTGCAGGAGGAAAGATGAGTCGTTTCCTCCTGTTAAGATTCACAGCCTCAGAAACTCAACAGAGCGTTGAGATGAATCAGATTAACACAGTAGCAGTGACTGTATTGAGCAAAGCGTTCCTGTGCTGGTTTCCTGTCTTCTCACCTATACCATGGACTTCATGATAATTACCCCTGCTCTCTTGAACATGGGTTCCAGGCAAGAGTAGTAGAATACCAACCGAGTGCATGTACAAGCAACTGTGTGTGTGTGTATGCACTCTGTATGGATGTGGTGGTATGCATGTAAATGTGTATACAGGTGGTGCATGGGTGTGGGTGTATGGTTTGGGTGTACACATACGTGAGTGTGTGCATTCACATGTCCGTGTGTGTATGCATTAGTGTGTGAGTGCATGGGGGTGCATGCAAATGCACATGGGCACTAAGTGGGGATAGAGCCAAATAAACCCATCGAGTAATAATAGCCTGGTGCAGGAGGAAGGAGAGAAGGCAAAGTGCTGTGTTTGGAGGTTTTGTGAGCGGATGACTCAGGGCTTTTGGTGCAAGTCAGTTCCCAAGCATCCTGACTCATATTCCTCACAACAGTAAGAGAGGGGGGGGAAACCAAAACACGGAGGTGGAATTTGAAGGGAAAATCAAAGGTGCTGTAGACACAACAAATAGCTTGGAAAGCAGAAGTCAACGTCAATGTAAACACTACCAGCCAGGGTCAGCTGCAACAGCGAGAAATGGGCTGTAAAGCCAGTGATAGCAACACTGAGCATTACACCAAACACAGAGAAGCGCAAACCAGAAAATAAGTTGTTAGGAACCAACAATTACACTTCTGTGCTGCCATGACAACCATGTTGTTATATGCCGTCAGGTATAAAAGTCACGGCAGCAGAAGCAGTTGCCACACCAGCTTTTCCTGCTACCTGACCCCACCACACATCGCCATGTGCCACACCAGCTGTTCCTCAGCCTGCCAGTCGGCCTGCCCCGGGACCCTGGGCTGCGCCCCATCCACCTCCTGTGGGGGCGCCTGCTACCGCCCAGTGTCCTGCACGACTCCGCTGTGCCGGCCCGTGTGCAGTGCGGCCAGTTCCTGCCAGTCGCCCTGTGGGGTCCCCAGCTGCTGCTCTAGTGGTTGCCAGGTCCCATGTGGTCCCTCCTCCTGTGGCTCGGCCTGCTGCGTGGCCAGGCCGTGCCAGGTGACCTGCTGTGTGCCTGTGAGCTGCAGACCTGCCGTTTGCCTACCTGTGACCTGTAAACCTGCAGTGTGCCTCCCTGTGAGCTGCCAGCCCGTGTGTGTGACCCCTTCCTGTCAGCCCTGCTGCTACTGAACCGTCAGTTCCCTGACCCACACAATTCCACGAAGACCTGCTGGGACGTTCCTCCCCATCAGCGCTGGGTCAGGGAGAGCTAAGGAGGACCACTTCTTCTTTCCCAAGTCACCTAGCACCATGGGCAGAGGCACGATCTAAGAGCCTTGAATCTGGCCTTCTCTTCGCTTTTTTTTTTTTTAACACATCACAACTTGGAAGAAAAATGGACCTTTCATCTGGATATTTCCTAATAAATTAATCAGCTTTTCCTCCTCTCCTTTTTTGTCTCATGATATGCTGTTTCTTAAGCCTTTCCCAAAGAAAAATTTACCACCACAGAACTCCTCTAATTTGCCTACTTCACCTTCTGCTCCCAATGTTGGGGACCAGTGTGCTTGTGTGTGTGCATGGCTATGAGAATCTGCAGGCACATAAGCACATGTGTGTGTACAGGCATTTGTGTGTTGTTCTGTGCACATGTGTGCATTATTGTGCATATGTGCACACGCAGCGTGTATGTGTGTGCATGCATGTGACCATGTGTTTTATGCATGTGCATAACTGTGTGTACATGTATGTGTCTTGAGTCCAAGAGCACGCATGTGCTCGTGAGTGTGTTATGTGCGTGTGCATGCATGTGTGGGTGTGTTCCTGTGGTTGCACATGTACATCTTTGTGGGGTGTGCACCGTTTGTACTTGCATGTGCGTATGTGGGTACAGAGGAGTGAATGGATGTGTTGGGTCAATACATGGCTTTTGTGTGCTCACGTGTTCAGCATGTAAGCATATGTTAGACATAAGCAGATTTCGCTGTGCTGTGTTTGCACAGGGGCATTGGAGTGGAGCCATAGTATGTGAACTGTATGAATGCACATATGTGTACAAATGTGTGTGTGTGTACATGAGATATGAGGGAATGGAAACATGTATGTGTTCATTATATGATCATGCATTGGTACAAGTGTGTATGGGTGCCTGCCCACTAAGGCAGTGGCCAGACATTCCACAATCACAGACCTCAAAGGTGTCAAAATATACCCAGGGCCCTGGGTGAATAGTATTCTGAGATTCTAATATTGCCCCCTCTTTCCTGTTCAAATCCTCTCTGCAGAGCCAGTCCCTACCTGCCCCTTGCCTGAAATCACAGGCAGGTCCCTCCACCCTCACATGGTGAATGCTGTCCAGTTATTTCAAGGGTGTGTCTCACTTCCAGTCTCGGGCTGCTAGTCACAGAGCACAGTGCACCCATTAATGACCCGTTTCCAGTTTTCACACTCAGGCTGGCATTGGACCTAGGAGGCCAGCAGTGGCAAAGGTCACCAGCTCCTCTGTCTCCTGATCCAAGTCTTGCTACAGACTACAGTCTGCTGGCCATGGTTCTGACCCCCTGGGATCAGAGCCTGGAAAGGAGGAAGGAGCAGGAAAGGTCTCCACTTGGCTGGCAGCTGTAAGGACTGTGACAGTTTCCTCTGCCCATGAGAATTCATATGGGTGTGTGACCTGTGGGTTTATTTGTGGGCCCTTGGGGCTTCTGCACTGGAGCCTCCACTGCCCGGTCTGTGGTGCTGCCTAAACAGTATCATGCTGGAGCTCCCTTCACCCCCAACCCCAGGAATAATGCTAGTATCTTCACCACAACCCAAAGCCCACCCTTGTAGCACTTTTCCTTGGGAGATACTTGCTAATGACTCTGGAGTTGGCACCCAATGGCACCACCTCCCTTCTGTAGAAGTCACTCAGCTGAAGGTCTCTGCCATAGAGCCCACATTTTACCTAATTCCTAGAAAAGTAGTTACTTCTCTTTCTCCTACATGTACACACATCCCTCCCCACAACCCAGGCCACTCCAACCAGCTGCTCAAATCCCAGCCTCATGAGTCCCACAAGTTCCAACAGCACAAACAGCGTCTGTCTATTCCAACAGCTTCTGAGTGGCCTCCTTGAAGTCTCCACATAGGCTCCAATGGATGCCCTAATTCCATCTCCCTGGCTCGCCTAGCTGAGCCTCTGGCTATGCCAGATGAGCCCCAAGAGGAGTGGTGAGTGGAAATCACAGGAATGGTTCATCAGCCCCACTCCTGTTCAGATAAAAGTAACCACAGGGTTGCATAGTTTGGTGGGTGGAGGGAGGGGGTGAAGGAAATGGGAAGGACTGGGAGGGAACCTGAAAAAACTGGGTAATGATAGATAAGGGTCAATGGTGGTTGATTTTTTTTTTCTTTCAGCCATTTATTTTTATTCACAGTTGTGTTCCCTGCAAATCAATTCCACAACATGACAAGTTACTATGAATCAAAGCAAATATACCCAAACACAATATACAATCCAAACAGACGTACAGCATTCAAATACAAAGCAAAAGGGGGTGTTCATCCACACACACAGTGGCTTGAGATTTGGTGGATCTGGTTGTTTCCATATGGAGGTTTCTAACCATGGGGGAGGGAAATGACTTTGCTTAGCAAACTACCATGTTCATATTAGGTAACTGGAACATCTAAGCATCAGTGTGTGACCATGCGAACAAAAGACTTCATGGAGCATCTATTTTTAAAAAGTTTCTGTGCATCAAGGCAGCTTAAAAGATTTACTTCCCAGAACCAAGCCCACCTTAAGAGCAGGTTCTAACAATCTAAAAGTATTGACTAGTACAGAAAGGATTCAAATGTGACTATTATGATTCATAAAGTGTTTTTTTTAAGTATTTACAAAACGAGTGTAAAAGTTTGTGAGTTTAATCAAGATTTGCTTCCATTCATCACTTTCTAAACTATTGATTTACGTTACCTTTGGCTCCTTCATATGTTTGCCTTTTTTTTTCCTTTGTAAATTTTTGTTTGACTTTCAGACTTCTTCCTCTTTTAGAAGATGAACTTTTAAATTGTAAAAAGTGTCTCACATATGCAGAAATGAAATACAGCATTTTAAAATGTGTTTAGGTAAATGCACTTCCTACTCTTTGGAATCAATTTAGCTCACTGAGTCTGGTGACTGGGAATAGGTTGAGAATAGGTGAGGTGAAATGCCTACTATGGCTCTATAAATGTATAAACAAAATTTAGTCATTATGTTTCAATTTAGGGTACATTGCAATCCATCATTCCCTGACACATGTCAACTGCATAAAGAGTTGAATGCAATGTCAAACCCAAAGGCTCAAAGAAGAGTTCAGTTCCCAAGAAAACAGTGATAGTATAACAATGAAAAATTTTCTCTAGAGCTTAACAGCATTAAATCAGTAATACTAAAGCAAAATGTGAAGGATTTACAGAAACATGTGGAGGTTCCATCTAATGTATATATAAATAGAACCGTGGGAGCTTTTTTAATTTCCTGATCATTTTATCGCCATATAGATTTAATGAACAAAATTAAATGTGAATCATCATTCTACACCCCATCTTTTATTTCTAGATAAACTATTCTTGTGGGGTTTTGGGTTGATTTTTTTTTTAATTCATTTTAAGTGTCCAGATTTCTTAGGCCCCATTTAAGGAAATCATCTCTAAACTTGTGGATGTTGTTGCTCTTCATCTGGTCCGTGAAACACCAGCCTATACGATCCTGGCATTCATCATCTAGTCAAGCTCTTCACATGGTCTTCAAATCAGCAAAATCAGAGATTCTCAACACTTTCTGGGTCAATAAAATAAGGCATGGAATCAGTAGATTCAATGGAGGAGGCCTGGTTTTTCCATCTTAATTGAATTGAGAAGATGGGGAAGAAGAGGCATTTCTTGGCCTGGGTCTCTTAACAGTAGAGATGTAGAAGGGAGAGTGAGACCCCAGAAGACCATGCACTGCAGAAGAGCTCCACTTCCCTTAGTGGTGGTGGTGGGTGGTTGTGTGGCAACCAAGATATCCTGGGGGGAATTAGTTGATTGTGGCATGGCAGTTGTATTATTTGAGTAAATTTGCATGGGGAGGAACAGTGTGAAGAACAGCAGCCCTGGTCCAAGCCTGGCCACCACTGCTTGGCCCATGTCCACTTTGTCAGTGCGCAACATGTCTCTGGGTCCTGGGAGTGCGGAGAATAGATAGCAGTGAGGAGTGGATGTAGCAAGGTGGTGCGATGGTGGTTGATTTTATAAAACATAACAGACACATGAAGAAATGCTCAAAATCACTGGCAAGAAAAGAGATACAAATTAATACCACAATGAGATGCCATCTTACCCCAATAGCAGTGGCAACGCTTAAAAGAACAGCAAGTAATAAATGTTGATGAGGATGTGTGAGATAGGAACTCTTATACACTGTTGGTGAGACTGTAAAATGATATAACCACTCTGAAAGGCAGTTTGGCTTCTCCTCCAAAAGCTGACCATAGAAATTCCATATGATCTAGTCATTCCAATGCTTGGAAAATGAGAACTGAAGCACAAATGGAGACACCAATAGTCACAGCAGCATTATTCACCATCCCAAGAACATGGAAAGAGCCCAGATGTTCAACCACAATCAAATGAAATGAGAAATTATGGTACATTCACATAATGGAATACTATGCAGCACTCAGGAGCAATGATTTTGTAAATTACTACCTAACTTAGGAAGGACTGGAGAGCAATATGCTAAATGAACTAACTCAGTCCCATAAGGACAAATACTGTATAAGATCATTATTGTAGAATGTATTCGAGGATCCAAGAGAGGAAGAGGGAGCAGAGGGGTGAGGAAGAGGTGAAGGGGCTTAATCATAAGGTCATACAATTTGATGTGTGAAGGGAGGGGTCAGTAAAGGAAAGGAGAAAGATCTGGTGTGAAAAGCAATGTATATGAAATTTGTAAGTAAAACAGTGTAAAATAAAAAGTCTATTTTTAAAAAACCCGTAATGCATGGGAATAATTGCATGAAACACAATACAAATGAAGAATAGTGTGAAACACACACATGCACAAAAGTAGTAATGTCAGCCTCTGCTGTCTTGGAGTCTTAGCCAAAACTCAGAAAAGGGCCAGGTTGATTAGTTCCATTTCTGTTCAGTTTATCCAAAGCCTCAGAA